ATTTGCAGGTTATATTTTCAAAATGGCGTTTCGACAATTTATGCTCGGTATACACTGTATATGTGTGGGGTGGTTGGCTAGCTTGCGCTTTCGTTTTTGTGTGCACCTGTTGACTAAGTTCTAATCCAACCTTTTTGCCGGTGTTTATATTGAATAGATTTCGGGATTTTAGGAAGTGGAATTGCATCGGTACGATGTCGTCCAAATCGGTTCGGCGTTCTACGCACATTTCGTTTACGACCACGAAAGGTGGCGAGACAGAGACGACTAGCAGCAGCAAGGACGTGACCGCTGACTCGGGATCGGTTGAGGACAGCGGTTTCGCCCAGCCTGCTTCCCCCCTCAGCCCTACGTGTTTTACACGGCAGCAGGAGAAGCAGCAGCTGCAGCACCTGAATGACCGTCTGGCTCAGTACATCGAGCGCGTCCGCCAGCTTGAGACAGAAAACCAGCGTCTCTCGTTGAGCATCCGCAACACCGAAGAGATCGTCACTCGCGAACGTAACAACATTAAGTCAGCGTTCGAGGCAGAACTGTCGGATGCTCGTCGTCTCCTGGACGAAACCGCCAAGGACAAGGCTAAACTACAAATAGACGCCGGAAAATTCAAGGCATTGGTCGAAGAATTGCAGGCGAGGTAGTTTATTTTTTTTTGCACTTTGTGATTTGTCTGTGAGAGCGCTCGAAAATCTGTTATGACCATAGGAGTTCTTAGACTTTCCAGTTTGGTCGCTCACTGACGTCACGTTGTACCTCACGTCTGTCTGTTTGTCGATTGATTTAAATGATATTGGTCTTTGAAATGCTGCTTTGATCTCGTTTTAGTTTCAGTTTCGGTCTCCGCATTTTGTCTTGCGGATTAAACCACTTAGTTACATACAGATCATAAGGACGGTGAATAAGTTCCCTGTATTTGCTCTATAAAAACGGAAGCCCTGTCACATTTAAACTCCTTGGAGGAGTGATGTGAGGGCGATCCGGTTCCTTCCCATTCTTCGACACAGTCTGCAGGTGCAGCTCGAGGAACCGACCGTAACCGTTGCCATGGTCATACGAAACAACATTGTGGTGTCCATTACTTTGTTACATGTATGTTTGTACTGTCTGGCGTAACTTCACGGGAGTACACTCAAGTTACCGGTCAGCAGAATGGAACATTACCTAGGAAGCACTTCCAGTTGCTTGAAAACACACCAGTAATGCGACTGAGCCCGATGATTGATGATCTCTTTCCGATCCATGACAGTTGCATTCCAGTTTGACAGATGAGTGACAGCAGTGTTTTATCATATTTCACTGTTATGATGAGAATGTAAACTAAGTAAATTTAAAGCTGTTTGTAGTTTTCTTCTTGTCTAGATTCTTCAGTTTTTCACTCTGTGAGTGATTGGATGTTGCTCCTGAAAAGATATTGGCGCAAGGCTAAGGTCGATATCAAATTTCTTTCATTGATTGTTGCGAGAGCTGTTCATTGATTTTATGTTAATTTTTAACCGATTAGTGATATCAAATGATCGTATATCACCTTCGTCTTCTGTCTTAGCTGTTCATTCATTGTTGTCGTGAAAACGAAGGCAGCAGTTTTTTTTGGCAATTTTCCAGATGTGCTAAATTCATGTCTGTTTCGAGGTGTCAGTGTATGTTGGCCTAACTGTTGCCTTCCTTCGTTTTGCAAATCATTCGACGTCAGCAGTTTTCGGTCATTTTATGTCCGGAGTTTGGCACGATGCTATAAGCATCGCTTGTATCGCGCAGTGAGTCATCACCGGCAGTAAAATCGGGGTCCTACGGGATCCTCTTCTAATATATTGGATATGCATGGTGGATGTGCCTCTGAGTACTTAACCTTAACGTGCAGCGGTCGTTGATTTAAATTTCAAATTATGAATCTCCTTATTGCTACAAACGTCAGTTTTTATTCACAGGAAGCCCATACTTGCGGGTTGTGGAGTTACACTGAATTCCTTATTGTTAAACCTGTGAAAAACAACACAAATAAGGTTTATTTAAACGCAGTAAAGTAGTCTACCTTATGATAAAACAACAGATGCCGGTATGTAGCCGATAGATC